AAAAAAAAAAAAAAAAAAAGGACAAAAAAAGAAAGGAAGAGAAGCTTTGAAAATAGTAAAAAACTGCACAAAGTAAAATATTCACTCTACTCAAATAGATGGAGAAAAAAGGAAAAAAAATGACCAACAATCTAAAAAGACTTAGAGGTAATCTCTTTTTAGTGGTGTAATAAAATAAAAATTTTCGAATTTAGGAAATAAAGATAATGTTGGAGAAAATGTGCAAATAAAGATGTCAATTTTATACTTTTTTTATTTAAAAATGTTAATTTTATTAGTTTTAAAATAATGATGCCCACTTTCAAATTTTTTTTATTTAAGGATGTCAATTTTAAACTTTTTCTATATAAGGATACCAACTTTTAACTTTTTCTATTTAATGATTAATTACATGATGATGCTAACATGGTAAACAAACTTTTTTAATGGGAATATTGAAAGTTGACATCCTTAAATAGAAAAAAATTAAAAGTTAGTATCATTATTCACATCTTTTCTCTGTTAAAGTATATGAACGGAAAAAAGATAGAGAATAAAAAAAAAATTAAATACATGTATATCAAGAGATTTAGGAAAGAGATTTTTTTAATAAAAAAAGAGATTTAGGAAAGAAGAGAGTTATCTCTTATCACATACCTCATTCATTAGATATAATAAAAAAATCTAATACATTAATTTTACTAGAAAGAATGGGGAATCACTCAATGAAAAATTAGTTTTGAAGTGGATATAAATAAATGGCTCTAAAAACACTTTAATGATTGAAAATAAAAAGTCAGGGTCCTTCTATTATATGGAAAAACTATTGTGTAGTTTAAAGTATATTAACTGCACAATAAAGATCATTTGATAAGATAAAGTGTAGATTTTCTGATATTGGGGGCACTTCTCCATCTAACGGTCCTTATTTTGCAATTTGAATTACAAAATAAGGAACCACTATTTCCGTACTAAAAATTACCAACACATCAAAGTCAACAATTTCAATTGCTATTGGTTAATTTTTTTTTGTAATAATTAATCCATTGATTAATGATGAAGATATAAATTCCTCCTTCCCTTGATAATCTCATCTAAGAGTAAAACAATTTGTTATAATCTTTTTTTGATTCATTTTAATGAAATAAAGAATTAAAGAGAAAGAAAGAGGAAGGGCTAAGGGCTTTATCCCTACATTTTATAAATGAGAAAATAACCCTTTTGACTAAGATGTGACTTTTAGATAAACTTTAATCTGAATGCTTGTATTATATAATTGCAGGGTTGTTTTTTGGATGGTTCTATAGCTAGTAAATGTGATGGGTTTGAGGTACTTTTTGTACCTCCTTAACAAATTTTTTTTTTCTTATAAAAAAAAGAAAAAGAAAAATGATACTTATATAATTGTTGTGGAAAGTGGAAACTGCTGAGTTGAACCAATTAATAATGTGCGGGATCCATTTATGACACAACTCAAAGTCATGGAATAGTTGCTTTTGCTTTACTTGTCTATATAAAGGTTTAAGGCGTACGTGTTGCTGGTAATGCACGGAGTCAGTAGCGGTACTTGGTGGTTGATTTGAGAATATTTTGATGGAGTCGAAATGGTTAATGTATGTGTTATTTACACTCTTCTTATTAGAAGGGTTATGGTGCCAAGGGTGTTGGGATGAAGAGAGAACTTCTCTCCTCCAACTCAAGACTTTCTTCATAAAATCTTGGCACCTGAGAAACTGGGAGAGAGGAGAGCAAAATTCAGATTGTTGTCAATGGGAGGGGGTTGAGTGCAACTCTGCTACTGGACGAGTCATAACGCTCAATCTCAATTACTCATCGTACAAAGAACTTGATCGCGATTGGTATCCACTACATAGCTTAATGGAATGGGAGAATGTGTATCTAAATGCGTCTTTGTTTCTTACATTTGTGGAATTAAAGAGTCTCCATTTAGCTGGTTATGGAATGGCTGGTTGCATTGAAAATGAAGGTTTTAATCTGTCTTTCAACTTAATTTCATCTTTTACATTAAAAAAAAAAAAAACTCATTTGTTTATTGTTTCATCTTCATATATTTTTTGGTGCAATTTCAAATTTATATTTGTGGTTCCCAAAACTGAAGTAGTAATTAGCTTGAATGCTGCAAGAAATTGTTTTGCAAGTTGTGAGAGACTTTCTAAGTTGAGGAATTTGAAAATCTTTAATCTAAAAGGCAATTAATTGAAACGATAGTATCTTATCATTTTTTAGTAAGCTTTCATCTCTCAAGTGTCTATATTTAGCCAACAACAGATTCCAAGCATCTAACCATGCTTACGGTATAATTGTGCATTTTTGACTTATAGAAACGTGTTCCCTTATTGTTTCATCTTAATATTTATGTGTGGCTCCAAAACTAAATTAATAGTTGTACATATTGCTAGTTTCAAGAAACTTTCTAAGTTGAAAATTTCCAAAATCCTCTATTTAAATTACAATATGTTGAACAATAGTATCTTATCATTTTTTAGTGAGCTTCCATCTCTCAAGTGTCTATATCTAGTCTACAATAAATTCCAAGCATCTAACAATGCAGATGGTATAATTATCCATGTTTTACTTATGGAAACTTGTTTCCTTATTGTTTCATCTTAATATTTATGTGTGGCTCCAAAACTGAATTACTAATTGTATGTATTGCAAGTTTTGAGAGATTTTCTAAGTTGAAAAATTTGGAAATCCTCGATCTAATTTACAATATGTTGAACAATAATATCTTATCATCTTTGAGTGAGCTTTCATCTCTCAAGTCTCTATATCTAGTTGACAACAAATTCCAAGTGTCTAACCACAATTATGGTATAATTGTTCATTTTTGACTTATAGAAACCTATTTTTTATTGTTTCATCTAAATATGCATGTGTCTCTAAAACTGAATTAGTAATTTTATGTATTGCAGGTTTTGAGAGACTTTCTAAGTTGAGAAATTTGGAAATCCTCGATCTAGGTTACAATATGTTGAACAATAGTATCTTATCATCTTTGACTGAGCTTTCATCTCTTAAGTCTCTATATCTTGTTGGTAACAAATTTGAAGCATCCAACCATGCTGATGGTAAAATTGTCCATTTTTTACTTATAGAAACCTATTTCCTAATTGTTTCATCTTAATATTTATGTATGACTCCAAAATTAAATTAAAAATTTTACATATTACAGGTTTTGAGAAGCTTTTTAAGTTGAGAAATTTGGAAATCCTCGATCTAAATGACAATATGTTGAACAATTGTATCTTATCATCTTTGAGTGAGCTTCCATCTCTCAAGTCTCTATATCTAGCTGCTAACAAATTTGAAGCATCCGACTATGCTGATGGTATAGTTGTCCATTTTTTACTTATAGAAACCTATTTCCTAATTGTTTCATCTTAATATTTATGTGGCTCCAAAACTGAATTAGTAATTGTATGTATTGCAGGTTTTGAGAGACTTTCTAAGCTGAGAAATTTGGAAATCCTCGATCTAAGTTACAATATGTTGAACAATAGTATCTTATCATCTTTGAGTGAGCTTCCATCTCTCAAGTCTCTATATCTAGCTAACAACAAATTCCAAGCGTCTAACCATGGCAATGGTATAATTGTCCAGTTTTGACTTTAGAAACCTATTTTTCATTGTTTCATCTAAATATTTATGTATCTCAAAAACTGAATTAGTAATTGCATGTATTGCAGGTTTTGAGAGGCTTTCTAAGTTGAGAAATTTAGAAATCCTTGATCTAAGTTACAATATGTTGAATAATAGTAACTTAACATTTTTGAGTGAGTTTTCATCTCTCAAGTCTCTAAATCTAGCCGAGAGCAGCTTATCAGCATCAAACTCTGGTACAGTTTTGACTTTATGTTATAAGCTAGGACATTAAAGTTAATGAGTTCAATTACCATTTTTTTTTTCAATATAATTAATCCATTTATTAGTAATGAAGGTATAAATTCTTCCTTCCCTTGATAATTTGATCTTAATATAAACTAGTTTGTTATGATTTTTTTAATATTTTTTTAATGAAATAAGGAATTAAAGAGAGAAAATGAATGCATATAATTGTTCCGAAAAGTAGAAAGTGCAAAGTTGAATTAAGAATGTGTGGAACCCATTTATGACAGAGAATGTAATCATGGAATAGTTGCTTACTTTACTTGTGTATTTAAAGGTCTAAGGTGAATTATTGGTAATGGCATGAAGACAGTAGCAATACTTGGTGGTTAATCTGAGTATATTTTGATGGAGTCGAAATGGTTAATGTATGTGCTACTTACACTCTTCTTATTGGAAGGGCTGTGGTGCCAACGGTGTTGGGACTAAGAGAGAACTGCTCTCCTCCTACTCAAACCTTTCTTCAATTCTACATTCTCTCTAAGAAACTAGGTGAGAGGAGAGGAAAAATTCAGATTGTTGTCAATAGAAGAAGGTTGAGTGCAACTTTCACCACTAGACGATTCATCTCACTTGTCCTTACTTTCACACAGGCTAAATCATGTAGTAGCAGTTTCACTAACACGTATCTGAATGCCTTTTTGTTTCTTCCATTTGAGGAATTGAAATCTCACTTTGAATTTAAATTGAATAGCTAGTTGCATATTGAAAATGAAGGTTTTTATCTACCTTTCAACTTGGTTAATATTGTGATTATCAACAATCGAGCATTTCAATATGTATATGATTAGCATTTTCATCTCATTCTTGTTGTCCTATCCTACATTTTATTTGTGTTATTTTTTTAATTGAACCAAAATTACAATTCTTGTGATATACTTGTAGGGTTTCTTAAGCTTTCAAAGAGGTTGAGCAATTTGGAAATCCTTAACTTGCAAGGAAATTTCTTCACTAATAGCATTTTGCCATATTTGAGTGAGCTTTTATCTCTCAAATATCTAAATCTAGCTGACAACAACCTCCAAGCATCTAACCGTGTTGAAGGTATAAATGTCTCTCTTTCACTTATTGAAACTTGTTTCCTTATTGTTTCATCTTAATATATATGTGGCTCCAAAATTGAATTAATAAAATTGTATGTATTGAAGTTTCGAGAAGTTTTCTATGTTGAAAAAACTAGAAATTCTCAATCTATGTTACAATATATTGACAAATAATTTTATCTTATCATCTTTGAGTGAGCTTCCATCTCTCAAGGTTTTATATTTAACTAGAGACGAATTCGAAGCATCCAGCCTTGCTGATGGTATTGATGTCCTATTATTTCATTTTAATATATATGTGGCTCCAAAACTGAATAAATGATTGTATGTACTGCAATTTTCAAGAGCCTTTCTATGTTGAAATAACTTGAAAATCCTCGATCTAAGTGATAATAAATTTAATAATAGTATCTTATTATCCTTGAGTACTAGATAGAACAACTTATTAGCATCAAACTATGGTACAGTTTTAATTTTATGTTTTATGCTTAGCAAACTTACACACTTGTGGACAACATGCTTTATTGTTAATTTATAACAGCTGATTTAGAAAAGCTGTCAAGACTTGACCATTTGGAGGTGCTTGACCTCGGAGGAGTAAACTTCAGTTACAACATCCTATCATCTTTGGCAAGTCTTCCATCTTTAAAACTTCTATTCCTAAAATCTGGTACAATAAGAATGAACCCAAGTACAAGAGGTAAGCTTGCTTGATCTTCATTTTATAATTACAATTATAATTTTTCCTTTCAAAATTATGCCTTCTTGTTATATTTTATTAGCCTAAAAATTTTTATGGTAAATTTTCATCTTTATTGTAATTTCTTTTTTATCTTCTTAGAACATTTTTCTTATAAATTTGAGTCCTTGCTTTAAATTTATTAATTATGATAGAAGATGACATCAATATAATTAATTGTTTTTCTTATTAGATTTTCATAACTTGTCCAAAGTGGAAGGGATCTTTCTGGAATATTCTGTCCTCCCAACCAACTTCTTTCGTGACATTGGAGCATTGACTTCTCTCAAGCGTCTATCACTATTTAACTGTGGACTAAGCGACTCCTTAACAAGCCCAGGTTAGTTACAAATTTAAAGAGATAATTATGTACCATTGACCAAATTTTACCATTTTTACTCAATATTAATTTTTTTGAAGCTATATGACTAACTTTGTAAGTGTTATATATGGTCACAGGCTTGTGTGAATTGACACATCTTCTTGAGTTGGATGTTGGTTCCAATTATTTAGGGGGAGCCTTGCCTTCATGTTTGGCAAACTTGACTTCTCTCAAGAGTTTAAGCCTTGATTCAAACAACTTTTCTGGAGATATAGCTTTGTCACCCCTTAACAAATTGACATCCCTTTATAACCTATCCATTTCAGACAATCACTTCCAAATCCCAATCTCCTTTCGACCATTCTTCAACCATTCGAAACTCAAGCATATTTATGCTAAAAACAATGAATTTTATGTAGATACCAACACTGAATCTTTAGAACCAACTTTCCAACTAAATACCTTAGTTTTGTCAGGTTATGGAGATTGTGGAGGAATTCCAAACTTCCTTCACTCTCAACATGACCTTGAACATTTAGACCTCTCGCACCTTAACCTAACAGGAGAGTTTCCCATTTGGTTATTGGAAAACAACACAAGGTTGCATACACTTTTGCTGGCTAACAATTCCCTTTCTGGACCTATTGGGTTTCCATCTCATTTTGATCATATGAATTTGGAAGTTCTAGATATCTCCAAAAATTTCTTTGAAGGCCATATTCAAATGGAGATCAAAACATCTTTGCCAAGTTTAAGAAATTTAAACATTTCAAGAAATTCTCTTACTGGCAGCATTTCTCCTTCAATTGGTGATATGAAGTTGTACTATTTGGACTTATCTCGAAATTCTCTTATTGGCAGCATTCCTCCTTCAATTGGTGATATGAAGCTGTACTATTTGGACTTATCTCGAAATTCTCTTACTGGCAGCATTCCTCCTTCAATTGGTGATATGAAGTTGTACCATTTGGATTTATCTCATAATAATTTATCTGGTGGAATACCTGATGAATTAACCATGGGTTGCTCATCATTGAGTGTTCTTGTGCTATCAAACAACAATTTGCAAGGCCATATTTTCTCTGAAAAATTTAGCTTATTCCAGTTGGAGGAATTGCAGTTGGATGGCAATCACTTTTCTGGAAGTATCCCAAAAGGTTTATCTAATTGCTCCTCTCTGTCTTCAATAGATTTCAGCAATAACAATCTCTCTGGAAAGATCCCAAGCTGGATGGGTAATCTATCATACTTACGCGAAATTATCATGCCCAATAATGGTCTTGAAGGTCCAATTCCTATTGACTTTTGTCAGCTTCAGTCTCTTGAAATTCTAGACCTTTCAAATAATAATATTTCGGGGAGTCTACCAGCTTGTTTCAAGCCAATGGAGATAAATCATGTTCATTTATCCAAAAACAGGCTAGAAGGATCGCTGATAACACAATTTTGTAACAGCTTTTCTCTAATAACGCTAGATCTCAGTGACAACCAGCTAAGTGGAAACATCCCAGATTGCATCAATATGCTTGGTGAGTTGAGTTATCTTATCTTGAAGAACAATAATCTTATAGGTGAGATCCCAATTCAGCTATGCAAGTTGCAAAAATTGAGCTTAATTGATTTATCTCAGAACCATCTTTCGGGCTATATACCTTCTTGCCTAAATATTACCACTTTTGATGAGGCATCCAAAGTTGATCCATCTACTGCTCAAGTTGTTGCTCAACCCCCTGGGGGGCCAATTTCTACAGATGAACCAGTGTATTTCACAACAAAGAGTGTGTCATATTCTTACAAAGGAAAACTTCTCACCTACATGTCTGGAATAGACTTCTCCTGCAACAAGCTAACCGGTGAAATTCCTAATGAAATTGGGCACCTCAATAAGATTCATGTACTAAACTTGTCTCATAATTTCTTAGTTGGTCAAATTCCAACTACATTTTCTAACCTTGAGCAAATTGAGAGCTTGGATCTTTCCTACAACAATTTGAGTGGGAAGATTCCTCCCCAGCTTGTTAAATTGCATTACTTATCTATCTTTAGTGTGGCATACAACAATCTATCAGGCAAGACACCAGCATGGGTCAAGCAATTTGCGACATTTAATAAAAATTGCTATCAGGGTAATCCTCTGCTTTGTGGGGAACCAATGAGAAGTTGCTCAGCAGCAAGTCCACCACCATTGATCCAAGGAGGTCCAACCCAGGGTAGAGAAGATGATGGTTCCATAGATATGGGTGTCTTCTATGTGAGTTTAGCTGTGTCTTACATAATGGTGCTCATGACTATTGCTGCAGTTCTATATATAAATCCTTATTGGAGACGAGCATGGTTCTATTACACTGAGATGTGCTTCATTTCTTGCTACTATTTTATGGTAGATCATCTACCCAAGCAATTTCATTAAAGAATGTAACCATATTATAGGTGTCATTTCTGAATATGTCCTTTCTTACTTTGGGGCCTAATTTGACACAAGTCAAGTCGTGAGGGAGTATTGATTGGAGTAATGACCTATTCTTATTGTGCAATTGAAAATAGGTTAAATGTTAATTTTGATCTCTCAGCTTTATAGTATCGTATAATTTTTGTCCCTCAACTATTTTTTGTATTTTTTTGATTCCTCTACTTTAAAAACTGCACTATTTTGGTTCTTTTGTCAGTTAGAACCATTAACTCAATCCACGTGACGTTTTTAAAATTTTTTTCTAATGACGTGGATAATCCAACTGGAAAAAATGCTTACACTAAAACTAATGCTTACGTGGTATTAAAACTTACACCAGCAATATTGGAAAAAAAGCACCCATTAACTTATATAATTAAAATTATTAATTATAATTAAACTTTTACAAAACAAACATAATCTTTTGATTGTACAAAATCAAAATGAAATCTAACAAAACCAAAATTTAATAAAGTTCTCTCTTGGAAAGTTTTTCTTTGATGTCAACAATTAACCCTGCAACAAAACCAAACCAAAACTTTGAAAATTCATACTATTTCAATCTAGCTTAATGATCACATAATCACAATAGAAACAACCAACCAAAACATATAAACAAAATTCAGCAGCATTCATAATACTAAATTGCCAACCCACAACCACAATATTTGAAACAAAAATCCATCAAATAGAAGGGTTCAATATATGCATAGAAATTGCTAGAGTTACTAAAGAAAAAAAATCTATAAATATGGGTTTGAAAACCCAAAAATTTGGGTTCCTTGAACCCATGTTTTTGGGTTCCATATAACCCAAATCTAGGTTCAAATGAACATAGTGTGTTGGGTTTCATGGTGAACCCAACATCTAGATTTCAAACGAATCCAAATTGTTGGGTTTGATTGAACCTAGATTAATACCAGGGTTTGTATGGAAGGGAAGGAGGAGAGGGAAGAAAGGGCAAGACACGAAGGGAAAAAGTGCTTGAATCCTTGCCAAAGATGGGAAGATGTTTTCCATTAATGGACAAGACTTCAAAGATGCTATGATGTGGAAGGATAAGGAGTGGGAGAGAGAGGTGAAGAAGAAGGTCGCTAGAAAAGGAACAAAGACACTAGAGTTGGGAGGAAGATGAATATAGAAAAAGAAAGGAGTAGTTAGGTTGAAGTATTGAGATAGAGAAGGATGAAGAGAAAGAGAGCACTAGAGAATGGAGAAGGGTAAGCCAAAAAAAGGGGGAAGATGAATTAGGGAAACAAAGAGGAGACCAAAGGTAGATGATGGAGTAACAGGTAAAACTGTCATTTTAAAAATATTTTAATTTAATAAATAATTAATTTAGGCAAATGGGTCCCTTATTTTTCCAAATAGGATTAATAAGGACACATGCATCATTTATCCACATTATTAAAACAAATAAAAGAAATACCATGTGCACCGAGTTAATGGTCCTAACTGACGGAGAAACCAAAGTTGTGTAGTTTTTAAAGTTGAGAGATAAAAAAAGTGTGAAAAATAGTTGAGAGACAAAAATTATACAACACTATAAAGTTAAGGGACCAAAATTAGCATTTAACCTTGAAAATAATACTTGATTGGAGTAATAACAAGAACTAATTAACTTTTTTTTTTTTTTGAAAAGCAAAATTATTTTAGTGATTGAGTACAAGGGATACTCATACCCACATACACTACTAGATTATTTCAAAATAGTTTGTCCATCTAGTACATTTACACATCACACAATAGTCTCTTCCAAATACCATTTATAAACACAGTTAGGGATTTGTTAGCCATTCATGCAAGTTGATTGGATTGATGATTATTAGTTGGTTAAAACATAAAAAGAAGGCAAAATTGAAAAACTTACTAAAAAGTTAGGAATACATATTTCTTGAGAATGTTAAGTTTCTTTTAGATTAGGAAAAATGGAGGAAAAATGGAAATAATACGTATTCATTAAAAGGTGGTAAACTGATAATATACGTTCCTTAATCATCCACTAATATAATCGAAAATGATGTCGAAATTAATACTGATGCTTCAGTCTTGGCGGCCTGCAATATGTTGAAGTGTGGTTTCGTTATTCAGGATGCTTGTGGCTCTGTTCTTTATTGTGGTTGTAAATCTAAACGGGGCAGCAACTGTCTACTGAGGCACGCAAAGGAGTAGATTGCATGTTTCTTGTGGTGGGGCTGTGGTATTGGAAATGCATGGGTTGCTTCAACTGGTTGATTTTTTTAGCTTTTCTCATGTCAAGAGTGAAGCAAATAGATGCCCATAACACGGGTCGTATGGCATCTGATGTGGAGAATGAGAGGGGTTGGATTGGGGCCAATGTTGGGCTCAATGTTCCTGCTCGTTTCTCTCTGATATTTTTAGTTCTTGAATGCTGCCTTTTTATCAAAAAAAAAAAAAAAAGGGATAAATCTTAGGAAAAATATATGTAATGGTAAATAATCAATTTTAAATAATTCAATAAAATTTATTTTCCTTAAATATACAGTGTCAATGTGATGTGAGAGCGTATCATTAAGATCATACGAATGCAGGCATAGCCGAAGACACCTTTATACGTGGAAACAACCCATAAAGAAGTCTATCACCATTACAGGAGGAAACCGCCCATAGAAAAATCTCAAATAGAAGTGGAGATGGGAAACTGAGAGAAAACATTTATTCATAGTTAAATTATATAAAGTGGTAAAATTTTACATCAAACAAATAGCAAAAAAGCATTTTTTTTTATTAGCCAAATGAATTTTTATTAATTTAAAGTACAAAAAATATTCCAACCCATATATACAAAGTCTATTTCATCTTTATCATGAGCTCAATTTTTATTAATAGCCAACAAGCGTTTAACTTAAATATAAAAATAATTATTTTATTTATTATCAATTAATTTCAAATTAAATTAAATGAAATTTTAATTAAAAACTCACGCATCAACTTTCAAAAATCATAAATGAAGAACTTAACTTGGAGTCAACTCCATCTACAAGTGGAAACCCAAGAAAAGAGAAGAAAACTTCAATTATAGTGGAGATGCGAGGAAACATATGTTTACACTAGTGAAATTGCATTTCCCTTCCAATACGGTAGAATAGAAAAGTAATTTTATCATAACAGAACTAACAATAATAATGCGTTTTGGGAGAAATAGCAAGTTAGACAAGGTCTTCTACTAACACATCTAAGTCTTCCTCTAATAATTTACAAGAAATGACCTCTAACATATTTCATTTAGGCCGATTGCACTAACACAATTTAATAAGAAAATTTCTTGGAAATTTTGTGTACATTAAAGGGTTGAAATCAACTCAACAAGTCTCATCCAGAAGAGCAATGGTGAAATCTAAGATGCTCATCATGTATGTAGCTGATATGAAGTCTTTCACTTTTGTCCAAAAAAAAAAAAAAGGAAAAGAAGTTGATATGAAGTCATGATCTCTTGGTTGGTACAAACTTTGATTCAACATATTGTATAACATATTCATTAAAAAATCATTGTTTTCTGATTTGAAATTAAAGATAGACAAACTTAAAAATACAACCATGCACATAAAATGCAAGAACTGATTGAATCTAGCTCTTCTTGTATTATATTTTCATAGTTCAACTAAACAAGTGTCAGAAAGTGTGAATCGAGTATGTACCAATTATTTTCCAATTGCCTTTTTATGTTGTACTGAAAAGAAATACAGTATTTAATTAATTTGACCATTAACATCAATATGATTCAGAAAAAGGAGAGCTAACCTCTCCATTCTAATTTTCTATCCTAATCAAGTGTCTTTATGACTTGAATTTAGGGGCATAGGGCATTAACCGTCACAAAAGAGAGAGGTTATTACTATTATTATTATCAATCAAGAAATTTCACCGATTGATAAATTAGATCTGTTTGCTACCAGAATTTACTGAGTTAGAAGCAGGTTTTTTGAGTTCCTTTGCTATATGTAGTGCATTATAATTTGTCTGTAGGTGTTCGAAGTGTTAGATAACCACTTGTCCTTCGTTTAGTAATAAAATCAACTTTTATTTCTTGTTGTCACTTGAAAGTGGTAACTAAATTCCGCTGAGAAATTTGTCGATGGCAGATAAGTTTATTATGAGGAATCAGCAAAATAGGAAAGGCATTAAAGTTTAGCCAGAGACCAAAATTGGCCTCCAAATTGATACTCCAATGCTCAACTTAAGATATTGATTCATGACCAAAAAAACTAGTGTGGAGCTGTCTGGAGAGCTAGAGAAAGCTTGTGGAAGAAGATGAACATAGGCTTGATCATGATTGATACTTTAGTTACTAACCTCTTAATTAGTATATTTCAGTAGGGAGCCGCCAACTGTCCTTAGGCTGCGTGCTCTCTGAGTTGACCCTTCAAGAACAATCTTAACAGTTGGATCTGTGAATCCTTGTCATGTGTCCATAAGTACCGTAGACTATTTTTGAGCATAACATTCGTCATTAAAAAAATAATGATCATAATATCACAGGCCTAAAAGGAGACTCAGACATTGCTGCATTTTTCTTATTAAATTGTGTTGGTGCCGTCGGCCTAGCTGAAAGAAAAAAATATTAGAATGGGTGTAAACAAAAGTCATTTGCTTGGATTATTAGCGTATTAGTGGAAGACCCTGATTAACTTGCCATCTCTTCCGCTAAACACATCATTGTTGTCAGTTCTAATGATAAAATCACTTGTGTACCGTATTTCAAGGGAAATGCAATGGGTTAAAACACCAGTCTGTGAATTTAAAATTAGGCCTGCTCTACTTTGAATGAATTAAATAAAAAAACTTCTTTTCAAACAAACTCTTTTTTTATGAAATTAATATTCTTCTTGTAATTCCGAATAGTTCACAAAACAAGAAGAAAATTAGGAGACCAGCTATCTCTCCCTCAAATGCCTAAGAACCCCAAATTTTATTGCATACAGGTGTCATAGATAGAACCAGCTAACACATATTCATATCCCCACCGGTATAACTATAGTCTAACATCCAGACTTTACTGATTATATTCAAGTTAGCAAGATCAATTGGCGATGATTCGCGAAGGAGAGAAGAATTTCAAGGATTTTGTTCAAAAAATCACTTTAGGTGTTATTTTAATTATATTAAATTCAAACCATTTTTAACAAAACAATTGAAATTCTTCCTTATTTTAAAATCCATCCTAGAAATTTTTTTCAATCCAAATATAAACTTTAATTTTTATTATTAACTTCTTCTTTTTTTAATTTTGCAATCCTCTCTAAGTCTTTAACTCAACTTACCTGCATATCATGTTACTCAAACTCAAAACCTCTTAAAGATTATTATTATTAACAATGAATGATAATTCTTTATGACTTATTTTTTAGCATTGTTGTGTCACAACCTTCTCCCACAACATGGAGTTACACGTGTTTAGATGAAGTGGTACAGGGAAAATTACAATTTAGTTACTTGTGGCATGGGGTTGATTCACATAAAGATTTAAGGTTTTAAAATGTGCATGAAAAAATATTTATGGTTTGAGATAAGTGTACATAGAAAGCAATGAATCACTTATTAAGGAATTAGTTTTGAAATGTGCAAAAACTGCTCTAAAAACACACTAACTGTTAAAAAAAAAAGTCAGGGTCTCTCTCGTATATATTACTTCGTACAAAAAAAAATCCTAGTACATCAAAGCCTCAAAGCCAATAATTTCAATTGCCATATGATTCTTTTTTTTTCCGTTTATAATTAATCCATTTATTGCAATGAAGTATAAATTCCTCCTTCCCTTGATAATCTCATCTGAACATAAATCAACTTGTTACGATCATTTTTTAACGAAATAAAGAATTAAAGAAAATCAAAAAGGATATAAATAAGGCTAAAGTAATGGATAAGGTCCCAAACATACACCAAATTTGCAATTAAGATTCCAAAATTTTATGACACTCGATTAAGGCTTTAAAGTTGTCATGATTCTCAAATAAGATCTTAATTGGGTGGAAACCGCTAGGTCCGTTAATAGATCTATTGCTAACCCTGTTAACTCTAACTGGTTAAATAACAAAAATAATCCCTAGACTTTTAATTTTAGCTCTTAACAACCTTAAAACTTTCAAAAACCTCAAAATGCTCTTAAATTTTTTTTATGAGGAAATTTTGTGGGACCCACCATTAAAAATTAATGTGGCATGTATGTTAGCCTCAATTTTTTTTAAAAAAAATTTTCATGAATGGATTTACCATGCAAATATGTGAGACCCACTCAAAAAAATTTGTTGTGGCAAAACATGGAGTTATGGTAACTGTTGAGTTGAATTTGTAATGCGCATGACCCATTTATGACAAAACACGGAGTTATGGAATACTTTCTTACTTGTGTATACAAAGGTCCTAGGTGAATTGCTGGAAATGGCACAGAAACAATAGCCGTGCTTGGTGGTTGATCTGAGTTTATTTTGATGGAGTCAAAATGCTTAATGTATGTGCTACTGACATTCCTCTTATTAGAAGGGCCATGGTGCCAAGGGTGTTGGGACCATGAGAGCACTGCTCTCCTCCAACTCAAGCCATTTTCGATAATCCTTAAAAGTCCAAAAAAATGGTGGGTGAGAGGAGAGGAAAATTCAAATTGTTGTCAATGGGAGGGGGTTGAGTGCAACTCTACCACTGGACAAGTCATAACACTCAATTTCAATTACAAAAAGTTCCAAGAATCTAATAGTGACATGTCTCTACCTCGCTATGGGAATCCCACGTTTGATTTTATGGAATTGGAGAATCTCATGTATCTGAATGCATCTTTGTATCTTCCACTTGATGATTTGAGGAGTCTCTATTTGGCTGGAAATGGGATAGCTGGAAATGGGATAGCTGGTTGCATTGAAAATGAAGGTTTATATCTATCTTCCAACTTAATTTCGTGATTATCAGGATCATCTCAATATGTATATAAGTATATTCGTCTCATTCTTAGTCTCCCGTATATATTTATTTGCTATTTTAATTGAACCAAAATTACAATTCATATGATCTGTTTGCAGGTTTTGTTAAGCTTTCAAAGAAGTTAAGTAATTTGGAAATCCTCAACTTGGAAGGAAATTTCTTCAATAACAGCATTTTGCCATTTTTAACTGAGATTTCATCTCTTAGGTCTCTAAATCTAGGTGATAACAAGTTCCAAGCATTTGACCATGCTAACAGTATGATTGTCCATCTCTTCTTCATCCTTGTTCTAGTGAAAATTGGTATCCCCTTTCTTTTTACAAAATCTGACATCTTGATGTTCTTATTCTTTCTCTTTGATTGCTATTTGTTCTCTTCGATCAATTTCCTTTTACCTTGTTACTTTTTTTGAGTGCTTTGAATTTCTCTCTTGAATGTAAGTTAGCTCCTCTGAAATCCCTAGATCATTAGCCCAATGATTGAACCTTGCCCCTCCTTTCTTTTGATCAAAGTCCTCGTTCAGAGTAGTAGATGGAACAAGGGAGAGGAAGAAGAGCGTGTAGAGGAGAAAGGGACAATAAACAGTTGAAGAAAGGAATTTTTGTATGCTCTGATATAGTTTTTCTTTCAATTTTTTTTTTTTGGACGAAAGCTTAGTGATTTTGGTGAATCAATTCTATTTTTAATTTTTGTGATCCTCAAAACCCCAAAATTTTGGCACTCTTCATGTTTGGTGGAGATAGAAATCGCAGATAAATTTGTAGAGTGAAGGGATTGAATGATGAAATCAGGAAGAGGAAGGCTAAGGAAGTAAAGTGGGAAGGGGTTTAGACTAAAATGGTGTCATTCTATTAATTGGGTTCTGCCTAAAAATTGACAATACAGGCTAACCCCAGTTTATTCATATATATATATATATATATGGCTCCAAAATTGAATTAGTGAGAAGCTTCAAAGTTGACAAACCAAGAAATCCTTAATCCAACTTATAATAAGTTGAACAATAGTATCTTAAACATCTTTGAGTGGACTTCCATTTCTCAAGTCTCTATATCTAGGTGACAACAAATTCCAAGCATCTAACCATGTTGACAGTATAGTTGTCATTTTTTGACTTATAGAAACCTATTTCCTCATTGTTTCATGTGAATATATATGTGACTCCAAAACTAAATTAATAATTGTACATATTGCAAATTTTGAGAAGTTTTCTAAGTTGAGGAGTCTAGAAATTCTTGATTTACAGGGCAATCAATTGAATAATAGTATTTTAATATCCTTGAGTGAGCTTCCATTTCTCAAGTCTCTATATCTAGGCAACAACAATTTCCAAGCATCTAGCCATGCTGATGGTATAGCTGCCCATCTTTGGTTTATAGAAACCCATTTTCTTATTGTTTCATTTTAATATTTATAAGACTCTGCAACTGAATTAGTAATTGCATATATTGCAGGTTTTGAGAAGCTTTCTAAGTTGAGGAATATAGAAATTCTTTATCTAAGTTCCAATCAGTTGAACAAACATATCTTCACATCTTTGAGTGAGCTTCCATCTCTCAAATCTCTCTATCTAGGCAACAACAATTTCCAAGCATCTAACCATGCTAACGGTATAGTCGTCTATCTTTGGTTTATAAAAAACCATTTTCTTATTGATGCCGAAAGGTCCAATCCAAGGTAGAGAAGAAGATGGTCCTACTGATATAGAGGTATTCTGTGTGAGTTCTATTGTGCCATACATAATGAGGTTGGTAACTATTACTGCAGTTCTCTACATAAACCCTTATTGGAGGCAGGCTTGGTTCTATTACATTGAGATGTGCTTCAATTCTTGCTACTATTTTATGGTAGATCATCTACCCAAGCAATTTCATTAAAGAAAGTACCCATATTATAGGTGTCATTGCTAATTATGTTGTTTCCCCTTTTTTCCTATTCAAAATTGCAATGAAAAGCCTCTTATTAAAAGTCTAGCCAATTGCATCAGCCTATCACTTCCAAAAACAAAAAAAGTATAATTCGCCCTCAAAACCAAAATTGCCTACAAAATCTGAACTCGAAGCAAGACGCATTCCGCAGTGCTAATCTCAAAGCAAGAGATAAAGGAATCAACTAAAAATAAATCCTAATGGATTAATCAATTTTCGAAAGAAGGAAAGAAATTAGAACGAAAGAGATGCTCAAATAAACTCATCGGCCACCATGCGTACCCGAGATTTGGAATCGCTATAATCATCGGCGCTGCCGTGGTTGCTGTCGTGAGTCTCAGGAGAACCGTCAACATCGAAAAGCTCGCCGTTGCACGGCAGCCCACCTCCACACCATTGTCTTCGGAGTTCTTCAGTTCTAGTCCTAATTTGTGGGCAATTCTCCATTCTATTTTTCAGTTAAGGTTCTTATCCATAAGTTAAAATTCAATTTTTTAAATAGAAAATTAATTATTTTCATATTTGCTATTTTTAATTAATAATCTGATTTATTTATTTGCTTTTCTTTTTTGTTTTTTTTTTTAAAATAGGCAATAGTTATTTATTTGGTTGTTTTGTGCCTCTGGAAAATTGGGAATGAAAACAATTGAATTAAGCAAGCGAAAATGATATCAAAATAGTTAATGGGAGTAAGGCTCTCCCGTGACAAATGCTGCAGTGACTCCCTTACCTCCCTCACAATGTTTTTTCTTTCAATTTTGCCCTTCAATATTTCTCCCTCCTTTCACCTGTTAGGAATGGCTTTTTGGTAATTTTGCTACCGAATAATTTGTCCATTGTTCAGAGATCATTTTCTCTATTTTACCCTCAAGCTTTGTTTCTCCCTTCCTCTCATGGAGCATTGTGTCTCCCTTTCTCACATGGCTTTTGGGTCTTTTTGATTTTTAGTGTTTCTTATGATTATTTTCTTATTTGTTTTTGATTCAGTGTTCGAATTTCAAAAAAAATATAAATAAGAATATTAATCTTTTTATTTTTTATTTAATAAAATTAGCACTTTGAAATAAAAAAATATAAAATCAATGTACTTATTTACATTTTTTTTCTTTTTCAAAAATATGATCTACTGGTACCCGGCCCTTGAGGCCCACTGATATCAAGCTAGTCAGTGGTGCATTTCCCCCCTCCCCTGGGCGGTTTCGAACCGCCCCTTGCCAATATGTTCAAAAAAAAAAAATTATGATCTACTGTGGTGAAGAGAAAAGTTTGAGTTTGATTTTGAGATTTGAGCACCTAAAGGAAATGATAAGGATTTTTGTGGTCATGGAAATCTTGCATTAACTCTACACTAGAAGAACAAGGGCAATGACAAAGTTTGTAGGCTCGAGAGAGGGACAAGGAAATTTAGATGAGGTCTGTGCACCTAAGCAAAGTGATATTAAAGTTGTGGAGAGATGCTCCATCTTCGACGATAAGAATGTAAAGAGGGACAGAGATTTGTCATTAGTTTGAAAAAGGTTGAGTAAGAGAAGAAGAGAATGTAAGAGTGTCGACCGAGACTTATGGGTTTTCTCTAATGATGGACATGAGTTGAATCTAATTAAAATCCATTAAAAAAATGAGAAATCCAGAAACATGTGAGAGAGTGCTGTTGGGAAAGGGGAGGGGGGCGGTGATATTAGTATCTTATTGAACTCCACCTAACCCATAGCAGGCAACATATGAACATGGTTCTATTGCAATGAAATGTGCTTCATAAAATCAATTATTCAAACAATTTCACTAAAGAATATAGGCATATTATAGGTGCCATTTTTAAATATGTTCTTTTTTATTGTTTCCTGTTTGGAATTGCAATGAAAAGTCTCCCACGCATGCTCTTCCAAGTAACATTAGCAAGGGCCCTAATTTGACAAAAGTCATGTCTCAAGGGAGTAATAAGTGGAATAATAACTATTAATTTTCTTAATTGTGGATTAAAACATAAAAATAACTTGAAAAACATAAAAAGAAGAAAAATTGAAAAAACGAATTCATATTTCTTAAGATAAAATAAAAATTAAAAATTAAAAAACTCTGCTCTTGAGAAGATTTTATTACCCTTCAACGAAGTATACGGCGTCGTTTTCCATCACGAAAGGGGATCATCCATCCGGCGAACAGAACTCATCCATCTCTCATGGCAATCTCCATCTCCGCTTGTGCAACTCCTCACTGAACCAACTCAAGTATTCCTCCAAGTTCCTTTTGCTAAAATTTAAGCAATCAATCCTGCTTCATTTTCTAAAACATTTCATTAATCTCAATCTTATTTTGATTGAAATTTTCAGGTAAACAATGCAAATTCGTTGGTCAATCTGTGGTAACCCATCTGTCCATGCATCCTTCCATGTTTCTTAGCTGAATTCTTATTTGGGTTTTGAATTTTTGACAAATATAATCAGGTTTTCTTTATTTGGGTAGAGAGCATTGCCAACTCGGATCATAACGGTGGGAAGAAGAGGTCCCCAGGTGTGCAGTTGCTGGTAGATGGGTATATCGATAAGTTCAGAAACTATTGTCCTGTTGATGATGTTCTAATTCGGTCTTAACCCCAAAAATGCAGGTGCTTCCATTCCCCTTTTCTGTAATTTTATGCCACGAATCTGTTTTTATAGTTTCTAACTTAATTTAGACGATTTTATGCTGGTTTTGTTTATGTAGAGATGTGAGGGCCCAGGTTGATGATGAAGATATGGCTGTCATTAACCATCTCAGGTCTGATGACTGGGTTCTCGTCCGGAAAACCCTCCATAGTTTTACTCTAACTTTGTTTTTTATTAGTGTCATTATTGGTTTGGTTTAGGGAGGTTTGGAGATATTGTTCTTGTTGGCATTTATCCTTGTTTTGGATCTTGTGTTTATAGGTTGTGATGTTGGATGAGCATGGATTGGATATAGGGTCTGAGCGGTTTGCTGAATTAGTAGGAGCTGCAGGGAATAAGGTAGGGAACTACAACTCACTAAAAGGTTGCTGAGAATGATTTTAATTATGTGTGAAATTGGATTTCTTCTTGGTATCAGTCTTTCTCTTTTCCTTGACAAGAATTATATATAGCAATTCAATTTCTGATCTTGATATATCAGAGATAAAACTCATGGCTAAATATAAGCAATTCAATTTCCAATGATTTCATGTGCTTTGATTTGCTGGAGAAAATAAGGTCACCTGATTGAAATCAATTTGGCTTTGTTCCTTAGGTAGGCTTTAATTAATCAAGAAAGTCATTGCTAGTGATCTTGTCAAAGGCATCTTACTTTTTGGTTTACAAGGTTGGGTCATTTCCAAATTATATTTGAAGCACTTTCTTCTTCATAATAATAAATTATACATGTTATCTCTTCCTGTTTCACAGGGAGCTTCAAGGTTATTATTTTGTATTGTGGTCGTGGAAGACAAATACAAGAACGTGCTAATATATCAGTCATCTTCAATGGTCTTGAATCATCAAATTGCACTTGTTGTGCTCGTGGAACAACTTTACAGATAAGAGTAATACCAACTTATATGCTACTGCATCGATAATGATTACTTCAAACTGAGGTCATATTTGTTTGAAATGGGGGTGGTAAAAACATCTGTGTTCGTTGCAAATGAACTTTTTGAATTGTGACAGTTTGAAAAACTTACAGAATCTAGCTGCTTCTGACTGAGCTTTCATCGCATTACCGTAGATAATCTTTATTACTTTATGTGCTAGGAGAAGTCAAAGAGCGTTCTCTAAAGGGCCATTTTTTTTCAGGTCATGGAATATTCTGAAGGGGCAGAAGTACCATCATTAGATATTTCTCTTTTTCTTAACCATTCAATGTGAGTAATGCTAAACTTAATGGCTAGCATTACCAATATTTTCAATCAAATTAATCTCTCCGCTGCAAAACAGGGTTGCTTGGGACACATCTGAGCTATGTTAATTGTATTGTCAAGTATTTTATCCATGAGTATAGATTGGGAACCTAGATTGTCCCTTTTTAGTAGACTGAGACCGGGACAAGTCACTGTAGTTCTGAATATCTGGCAGTTGGTCTAACCTTCAATTTAGTCTATACGAAAACATAAACATGGATGTGGCAATTTCACTGCAGAAGTCGCACACGCAAGCAGTATATCTAAAGAACAGCTTGGTTTGGCCATTTGGATCTAAGTTTCAAGCATTCGGTGGTGAAGTGCGATTGTGTCGAGTGGTCCTGGATTTTCAAGTTACTACATATGAGCCACATTCTAAAGAGGACCAACTTCTGCCGCATTTTCAAAAAAAGACATATTAATACTGAAGGAAATCGTGACACCAAGAAGTCAGTCAAGAAAGGGACTTATTGCTTTCAGTTTAATCCAGTAAAATATTATGAGTCTCTGGTTGATATGTCTCGTGTAACGTGAAAATGTGTTTTGGAAAATATTGAAGATATGGGAATTTTACGTAAGAGCTGTATTATTTTGGATATTTAACTCAATTGATAAATTTGATTAGGTGTAATTGAAAATTTTAAACTTTGATCTTGAACATGTGATGACTTTATTATGGCTATCATTGAATACTCAATTGAGCCATTTTTCCTCTCTCCTTATTTCATCCATTGTTTTCTCTTTTTTACTTACTCTTTTTTTCTTTTCTTTTTTTTTTTTTTACAAAACTAAAAAGATAGAAATTCATGAAACCTAAAAATCTTGTACGGAATTCCCTCTTATCTATCTAAATCTATGAATTATTATTTTTGTGAAAGTTTTAGAACTACAACATATGTTCTATTGATTGATAACTTTACAAATCATAATATCTATGTTTTCATTAAAATTGGTCCATTCAAAGTTACATAGGACACCACACTCGCAACGTAGGATTATCCAACTAGTACTTACAATGCTACATAATTTGTAAATTTATAATTTTGATATGTTACTTTATAATAATAAATGATATACTTATGCTAATGAATTAAATAATTCAATAATAGTTTCCTTTTATTAGAAGTAAGTGATTTTGAATTCAACTCATATGGTATGTAAGTTGAGTGAGTTAAGAGATGAAAAATAATTACATCTCATTATACAGCTTAGATTTAAAAAAAAATGAAAATGATATACTTGCAATGCCATATAATATTATAACTTTATACCATGATATGTACTTATATAATTAATTATTTTTATTCATAGGTCTATACGTAATATTTTATGAATCTACTTGTTAAATGTTATGTTATATTTATTTAATGCATGTAAGATTGTAATGTCATGTTGGTTTATAAGTTTATAATTTTACATGATATTATATTTATAATATTACCATTACATAATTGACATTTTTCGTTGAATTAGGCATAATATTATATGTATTAAGTTCTTTAATATCAAATCATTATGTTTTATTTCGTGTCTTGATATATCAAAGGTAAAACTCATGGCTAATATGAGTAATTCAATTTCCAATGATATCATATGATGCATCTACTTTGATTTGCTGGAGAAAATAAGATCACCTTATTGAAATTAATTTGGATTTGTTCCTTAGGTAGGTTTTAATTAATCAATAAAATTTAGTTCTACTGACAACCAGGCCGAAATCAATTTGGATTTGTTTCTCTTTTTTTTTTTTTAATTTTTCTTTAACTTTTCCCATCATCTACATCTCCCTTTGTTAAAAAAAAATCAGAAAAATTATTCCACATTTCCCTTTGTAAAAAAAAAAAAAAATCCAGATGAGATATTATTTGATTGAATGATGCCTTTATTTGTATGGACTTCTACTTGGATCGGATTATTCAATGTAGAAACATTGGGTCCATTTTGTTGAATTGGGCCGTCACTTAATGAGGACCAGAAGCAGCCTGTTTTACTATTCTACTCTAATTTCCATTTATCGTTTGGCTTCCGTCTAATCTTTTAACCGTTTTTAGTCTAATTTCCAAAACCACTCTTCTTTCTATCACATAAAAAGTAAAAACTCAAGTCATTACCCAAAAAATAAAAAACAAAAAATAAAAAAAATTCAGTCCATGTGCTATTAAAATTGTAAAATATTATTTTTGAAAATACTGATTTTATTTAATTTAATTGATAAACTAATAATTATGATTATTAATTAATAACTGATAAAATAATTGATATATATTAGTTAACAAATAAAATCAATTAATAAATTGATATTTTCAAACACTGATTAAGAATAAAAACTAAAATTTTAATTGTTTTAACATTTTTTATAATAGTAATAACCATACCCAAAATACTCATGTAACTCTTAGTTATCTCTCTTCAACTATTATAAATAAGTCATCAATAAAATTAATGAATTATCTTCTCCATTCAACTTTAATTCTCTTATTTAACTTTTTAAATATGAATTTAAATGAAAATTTTAACAAAGTATATAAAAGATAATTAATTTTTTTATATAATCTTTGTTATAGTTTCATTTTATAATTTTTTTTATTATTTATATTATTTTAAGTGTTAATTTAAATTTTATGTTTGAGTAGTTTAACAGTCAAAATATATCAACTAAATTTTAAAAAAGGGCTAATTTTTTCATTTTTTTTCCTCAAGTTCTTTAAATAGAGTTTAGTATTTTTTTTTTTTTTTGCACCTAGTAACTATAAATCAGGGTCTTGACAGACATTAAAAGTCTTGAAATTTATGAAAAAAAAAAAATCCTCGAAAAAGATGTTGATTTCATTCGCATCGTAGTAGAAGCTAGCATCTCATCCAATAATTTTACTAATCCTAACGTGTTGCAAGTTAAGCGTTTTGCCCCTTTTCCAGAACAGATAACAAATCTTGTCCTTAGGGGTGGACTTTCCCATCGCATCTTCATGAAGATGCCTTAATTCTCATTAGCCCAAACCTACAACGAAGTTTTGGAAGATGAGTATTATTTCTTTTTTTATGAAAACATATTTTATAAGTTAAACTATCCTTTAAAAGTACAGTATAATTTATGAATTTATTAAATTACTCTTAATGAAATTATTTTTTTGTTATTTCATTAATAGTAATTTAGTAATTTCAGTACTTAAACTGCAGTTTTAATTTCAATCCAGTTTATAAAATATAAATTCCTTTTTTGAGTTAGAATCAACTAATATATAACTTTAACACATATTATTTATACAAAATTCTAATAATTTATCTTTTCATTATAAATAATTTAGATTTATCTTTTCACTATGAATGATCTATATTTATCATGATTTTTTAAATTAGAAAAACAATTATCATTATTAAAAAAAAATAAAAAGTGAATAAATTTTAACCATTCATATTAGAGAAATGAGTAATATCAAGATTTTGTGTAAGTTGATCTAATTTATATATATTTATTGAGGTTTGTTAGTTGATATTATAAAATTTTGAACTCTTAATTAATTTAAATTAAGATTTTTAAGTTAATAAGTATTAACTCAATAAAACCAATAAAAAAATACTTATTAATAAAAAAAATTTGTCACTTCCATCATTTCACTTTCCCTCTTATTTTCTTCAAACAAAACATATCCTAATTAAAAGCCTTCAAAAAATAATTTCGTTCCCACCTAGACGAAGTTATTCTTCCAAGTAATAATTTTCCTAACGAGTTGGTAGTCAAGGTCTTCCCCATCCATGACAAATACAAAGTGCAAATGCTAACAAGTTACTATTCTATCCAATAATTTTCCTAACAAGTTGTAATCAGTCAAGGTCTTCCTTGTCCATAAATTACACGAAAGTGCAAAATGCTTAACGTCAAAGTTTGCTTCTTAATTTTTAGGACAGATAGAGGCAATATATCTTTGTAGTTAGAGGGAGGGAACATAAATTCACGTTAGTCAAATTGCATATCCTTTCTAATACGTTAGAATTAAAAAGTGATTTTATCATAAGAATTGACAATAATACCGTGTTACGGAAGAAATAGCAAGTTAGTTATGGTCTTCCACTAACACGTTTAAGACTAGTCTTCCTCTAATAATTTCCAAGTAACATCAAGGTTTGCTTCTTTATTGGGACATAGAGACAACGAATCTTTGTACTTTTTTGGGAAGGACTTTCCCTCCGCATTGCCACGAAGTTGCCATTCTCCTTAGGCCATAATTATCATTATTATTTTTTTTTTTTGGTGAAATTGTGGAATTGAAGAGTCTCCATTTGGCTGGAAATGGAATAGCTGGTTGCAACGAAAATCAAGGTTTTAATCTGTCTTTCAACTTAATTTCATCTTTTACTTTAAAAAAAAAAAAAAACCATTTGTTTATTGTTTCATCCTTATATATTTTTTGGTACAGTTTCAAATTTTTATATTTGTGGCTCCCGAAGCTGAATTAGTAATTTGCTCCAATGTTGCAAGAAATTGTTTTGCAGGTTTTGAGAGGCTTTCTAAGTTGAAAAATTTGGAAATCTTTAATCTAAAAAGTAATTAATTGAACAATAGTATCTTATTATTTTTCAATAAGCTTTCATCTCTCAAGTGTCTATATTTAGCCAACAACAAATTCCAAGCATCTAACTATGCTGATGGTATAATTGTACATTTTTTACTTTTAGAAACCTGTTCCCCTATTATTTCATCTTAATATTTATGTGTGGCTCCAAAATTAAATTAATAATTGTACATGTTACAGGTTTCGAGAAACTTTGTAAGTTGAGAAATTTGAAAATCCTTGATTTAAATTACAATATGTTAAACAATAGTATCTTATTATCTTTGAGTGAGCTTCCATCTCCCAAGTCTCTATATGTAGCCAACAACATATTCCAAGCATTTAACCATGCTGATGGTCTAATTGTCCATTTCTTACTTATAGAAACCTGTTCCCTTATTGTTTCATCTTAATAATTATGTGTGGCTCCAAAAGTAAATTAATAATTATACATATTGTAGGTTTCGAGAAGCTTTCTAAGTTGACAAATTTAGAAATCCTTGATCTAATTTACAATATGTTGAACAATAGTATCTTATCATCTTTGAGTGAACTTCCATCTCTCAAGTCTCTATATCTAGCCTGCAGCATATTCCAAGCATCTAACCATGCTGATGGTATAATTGTCCATTATTTACTTGTAGAGACATGTTCCCTTATTGTTTCATCTTAATATTTATATGTGACTCCAAAATTAAATTAATAATTATACATATTGCAGGTTTCGAGAAGCTTTCTAAGTTGAGAAATTTAGAAATCCTTGATCTAACTAGCAATATGTTGAACAATAGTATCTTATCATCTTTAAGTGAGCTTCCATCTCTCAAGTCTCTGTATCTATCCGACAACGTATTCCAAGCATTCAACCATGTTGATGGTATAATTGTCCATTTCTTACTTATAGAAACATCTTCCCTTATTGTTTCATCTTAATATTTATGTGTCCCCATAACTGAATCTATAATTGTATGTATGTTTTGCAGGTTTTGAGAGGCTTTCCAAGTTGAGAAATTTAGAAATCCTTGATCTTAGTTTCAATATGTTGAATAATAGTAACTTAACATTTTTGAGTGAGCTGCC